GATGGGACAGTGGGGTCTGGGGGCAGTGGGTGCTATGGGGTGGCAGGGCAGGGTGCTGTGGGGTGGCAGTGTGGGGCAGGGGGGTACCTGCTCGCTGGTGATGCCCTGCAGCCGGCGCAGGGTCATGCCCAGACTGAAGATCTCTACCTGCCCAGAGCAGCGTCAGGCCCCGTCCCTGTCCCCACCCCGGGGTGCCCGTCCCCAGCCATGTCCCCACCACCGGGCATCCCCCCACAGCCGGGCACCGGGGGCACCACTCACCTCGCCCCTCGTGTTGCTCTTGTTGGGGACCCCCACCACCAACTCTGCGGGGGGACAAGAGCCCTGAGTGCCACCATCACAGCATTGGGGTGGGCATGGGGGGCACAGGGATGCCCCTGACACAGGGGTGGGCACAGAGATACCCCTTGGCACTGGGGTGGGCACAGAGATACCCCCCAGCACTGGGGTGGGCACTGGGGGCACAGAGATACCCCGGCACAGGGGTGGGCACAGAGATACCCCTCAGCACTGGGGTGGGCACAGAGATACCTCCTGGCACTTCCATGGGTGTGGGGGGTACAGGGATGCCCCTGGCACTGGGATGGGCACAGAGATACCCCTTGGCACTGGGGTGGGCATAGGGGGCACAGAGATACCCCTGGCATGGGGGGGGCACAGATATACCCCCTGGCACTGGGGTGGGCATAGGGGGCACAAGAGATACCCCTGGCAGGGGGGGGGCACAGATATACCCTCTGGCACTGGGGTGGGCACAGAGATACCCCTTGGCACTGGGGTGGGCACAGATATACCCCCCAGCACTGGGGTGGGCACAGAGATAACCCCCAGCACTGGGGTGGGCACTGGGGGCACAGAGATACCCCTGGCACGGGGGGGGCACAGAGATACCCCCTGGCACTGCCATGGGTGTTTGGGGCACAGAGATACCCCCTGGCACTGGGGTGGGCATGGGGGCTCAGGGATGGACAGGGCTCCTGAGTTGCCACAGCCCGTGTCCAGGAGCCCAGGGGTGCCCAGGACCCGTGCCACCCCCTCCCCCCAGGTGGCCCTTGCCCCCGTGCCCACCCGGCTGTACCTTTAGTTTCGGGATCACCATCGAACTCGCCCACGGCCACCGAGTACCCTGCAGGGACATGGACACGGGTGACCCCACGCTGTGCCCGGGCACGAGCCAGCTATGGGGCAAGGGCTGCCCCACTGCTCACCCCGGTAGCCATCCTCGTAGTCCATGGCCATGGGATCCTCCGTGGGTCGCCCCGGGCGCTCGGGCCACAGCAGGGAGGTGCCGTGGAAGCGGGTGAGGATGGCATCCACCTCCACCGAGTACAGGAGCCCTGGGGGGGCCGTGGCAGTGCTGACAGGGCACCCCCACTGCCCCCCAGTCTCGGCTGCGGGTGCTGCTGCGGGGGCTGCACCTACAGGGGTGCCCCAGCCCGAGTGCCCCCCTCCTGCCGTGCCCACCCGGGGGTGGGTAGCCCGGCACTGGCACCAGCCCGGGTGGCAGAGCCTGGTGGCCAGGACTCACCCATGAAGTAGTAGCCACCGGGGGCACCCAGCACCAGCGTGCCGTCCTGTGGGACCGGCCGGCGTCAGCGTCCGCCCTGGGGC